TGCAGTCCACTTATTGGATGAGGGCCTCTGGGCTGCTCAGTTATGAGGCTGTTTACTGCCGGACAGGAAAGACACCCAGGACTTCCACCAAGGGTCAGAGGAAGTTGGATTCGTGTACATTATCATAAAAAACTTCCATCCTTTTGCTTTTCCTCTTCTAGTCCCCAACATAACACCTCAAAGATTATAATAATTATCATGTTGCAGGATAAAAAATGTTTAGCATGCTCTACATGTTGGTCAAAGTGCCATCATGAGAAATATATAACCTAATCCATAATAAATGACAGCTGGATGCTGGTGGGTTTCTCCTGTAATCCTAGCTACTCAGGAGCTGAAATCTGAGGATCAAGGATCAGCGCCTACCCTGGGACAGGAAAGCCTATGAGACTCTTACCTCCAATTAACCACCAAAAAACTACAAATGGTGCTGTATCTTAAAGTAGAAGAGTGCTAGCCTTGACCAAAAAGCTGGGGGAAAGAGCCCAGGCTCTGAGTGCAACCCTATGACCAACAACAACAACAACAAAAGAACAATAAATGACACATTTCCCCCTGATTATTCATGTAACCCAACTGCTCAATCCTCACACAGTGCTTATCAAATATACAGTGTCAGCTAATGAACAAATGAAAGAAATATACAATGAGCCAGAGTATACCATCAAGATATTCCCTTTTTCTCCATGAACCCAAAAGTCAGTGATGAGTCATACAGTCCTCCAGTGGATCTGCCTTTGCTAACTCTTTTTTCTGGCCCCATTCTTACTAGGTAGGCATTCTACCACATGAGCCATGACATCTGCTCCTTTTTTACTTTTATTTTTCAGGTAGTTTCATGTTTATGTCCAGGGCTAGCCTCAGAGCTTGAATCTGCTAGCTACCAAGGAGTTGGGATCACGCTTGTAAAGCAGCATGCCTGGCTTGTTGGTTGATAACAGGGCCTTATTAACTTTTTGCCTAGGCTATCCTCAAACCACAATCCTCCCAATTTCTACCTCCTGAGTAGCTGAGATTAAAGGCATAAACCACTACTCACAGCCTGCTTTGATAATTCTTGAGTGCTTCTTTCAAGCAGAGGCCTCTGCCACAAGCTAAGGGAATGAAGTCCTGGAAAGAGCAAGAAGAAAATGACAGTCATTGACAGAATACATGGAAAACATATTTTAACACATTTATTTGCTTTATGAACATAGTCTCTATCCTAGAGTCATAAACATGTATGGAGTCTCCATGTTCAGCCACTCCTGAATATGTCCACTCCATTGCTCTTTTATAATAACCTCCTTTAGCCCAGCAAGGCTCAAGTAGGCAGGATTCACTCATGTGGTGAAATACAATGAGATAATAGCCATCTATTAAAGAGCTTCTTGTCTTTACCATGGACATCAGCTGTGGACTGAAACATATTTTCTTATCATGTATGCCAGAAAAATGAATCTCATTCCCCTTTCTCCTGACTAATAGGATATAAATGACTGATATGGAAGTGGCGCTGTGGCTCAAGTGGTAGAGCACTCGCCTTGAGCTGAAGAGCGCAGGGACAGTGCCCAAGCCCAGAGTTCAAGCCCCGCCAAAATAATAAATGAATGAATGACATGCTTTCTCTGAATTAAGGGCTGAAGACAAGGTGTCACCCAAGTGGTAGGGAAGCCTTGAATCCAGTGCTTAGCACTACAAAATAAAAATAAAGGGAAGCTAGGTATCAGGGTTTATTCTTATAATCTTAGTTACTCACAAAGCTGAGATCTAAGGATCAAGATTTGAAGCCAGCCTGAGCAGACAAATCTTAGCTACTTTTATTATAAACTACCCAGCAAAAGCCTGGAAGTAGAAATGAGGCTCTAGTAGTAGAACACCAGCCATGAGCAAAAACTGCCCACCAAGGGCATGAGGCCTGAGTTCAAGCCTTACTATCAAAACACACACACACACACACACACACCTACACACAAATAATAAATAAAGGGAAGATTAAGAAGAGGGATATGCCTTCTTCTTACACTCCTTGATGAAGAAGAGGGATATACCTTTCTTCTTAAGTTCCTTGACTGTAACACAGAATATGTACTAGGCTACATAGTCTAGTCTAGCTTATGTTCCATATGAACGTAGGTATTATTTGGCTAAACCAAGAAGCGGCAATACTATTCTCAATATTGTCATATTGTTTTTGGTTCATGTCTCAGTGTGTTCACAATGACACGACTAGTTCAGTGAAGGAGAATGGTTGAAATAGAAAATTAGAAATAGACTCTGTTTAGCCCAGAAAATGGGAGATAGTAAGGGATTTGGTGACTGACCTCAGATTCTTACAATCTATTACAGGTAGCCCCAGACAGTAACACTGCCTAGTGACTGGAGCTCCCCAAGGGAACCAACATAAGCAATGACTACAGACAATAACTACAGATGTTATTGAGATCATGGCTTCCCTTTAAGACTTTTGTAACTTAAGATCCTAAGAAGCAGCTCAGATGACCTGGAGACAGCTAACTGTCTACACTTGTAGCACGTGATCATAGGGAGTGATATGAAGGGAGAATTGTCTAGTCTAGTTGCTGGAAAGTGTTCTCTAATTTATTTAGAATGTTCTCATGGTAAGTTAGAGTTTGTTTTTTGTTTGTTTGGTTGGGGTTTTTGTTTTTTTTTTGTTATTTGGTTTTATAAAGAACTGCTTAGAGGGGCTGGGAAGGTGGCTCAGTTGGTAGAATGCTTGCCTTGCATGCATGAGGCCCTGGGTTTGATTCCTCAGCACCACATAAGCAGAAAAAAAAACAGAAGTGGCACTATGGTTTAAGTGGTAGAGCACTAGCCTTGAGCTGAAGAGCTGAGGGACAGCGCCCAGGCCTAGAGTTCAGGCCCCACGACCAACCAAAAAAAAAAAAAAAATGCTGCTTAGAAAAAAATGGATAAGAGCTAAACTGGAATGAGACAACGAGATGGAATAAGTAGAGAAAAAATAAGTAAATAAAAATTTAGGAACAAAGATGGAATCATTGGGTAATAGGAATATTGAATGTTTGCCTGAGTAGAGAGCATAGGGTTCAAGAATAAAAGAAGTCATAGAAAATTTGGGTTACCAGTAAACAATGGGTCCACATGAAAGGATAGGAAGAACAATGCCATTTTAGTGCCAACTTACTGATCCTATGGAGCCGTGGTAGACCTATGGCTCCCTATCATTACCAGTCTCTAGGCCTCAAAGTGGTGTTATTACCAACTCTGAGTTCTTCCTGGTGCTGAAAATAGAAAGGTGAGTACAACTTGTTACACAATTGGCTCTCATTCTCAAATCCTGGGTTCAGTACACATCTCTTCATGGGATTTCCAATGATTTGCTCTGAAATTCATCTTGCAACATATATCCTTTTCCTTAATTTTCAAAGCAATGAGTATTTTAGTACAATGAGATGATTATCAGTTCTGGTGAAATCAAGTAAGTTTCTTGTTAATAAAAGTGTTTGTTAAGGTAACTACAGTTGTAAATACCTTCTCTTTTTAAAAGAAACCCATGTCATCGTATTTCAAGTTTTCCCATTAAAACAAAGAGGTTAATTTCCCCCTCAAGTTGATCATGACATTAATAATTTTTGATGGTGGGATATGACTATATCTATGCTAAGAGACAGTCATACATGCCAAGTCATCCAAACAATATAAAGTTTAGGTAGAAAATTTCATTCCATTACTATTGGGAATGTAAAGCCTTACCTTCATAAATAGAAATTCCTTTTGTTCAACATCTGGCTTATAGTTAGAGAAAAAAAATACCCCCAAGGATAAGTCCAAAGTCTGAAAAGCTAACTTTAATATTGTGAGTTCAGGAATAAAAATGAGGGTGCTTCTTGGCCATATTAAAATTTTCCAAAGCCCTTTTCCTCAGCTCTTCAAATAGGATTGTGTTGTCACACACACGTGCACTCTGCTTATATTCTGTTTGAAATACACAGAGTCCCATTTTGATAGGAGAAGAATATATGATGACAAAGAGCTACTAACAAACTCAAGCCAGAAAAATATTGCCAACAATTCCTACCAAAACTGAATTATTTTTCAATGAAAAGAAAGCCCCTTGGGGGTTTAGGACATGAAACATTACCTATTATGCTAACTAAAGTTCCTGAACTACTTCTATTAAACTGAGTTTTAAGAAGGCCCCTATTGATGAAAGACCCAAAATACTGCATGAACCAGCTATTGTTTGACAAAGAAAAAAGATAATTAAGTAATTAATAAGTTCTTTCTCTGATATAATAATGATCTCCACGTCAAGAATTAGATGAAAAGAATTAGACACTTTATACCAATGTACCTTCTCGCTGCTCACAGTCTGTTTATTATTAGAGCACCTGAGAAGATATCCCTAGAGTCTGATCATAATTCAGAACAAAGGTAAGGCTCAGTCTCTGATTATTTTCCCAGCGCCCTCTTTGTAGGCCAATGCCATGTCTCTTCTCTATTAAAAGATGAAATCTTGAGTTGCTGATATAAAAAAATCATCTCATCCATCAAAGGAAAATAAACTTATTTGCCAAGGAAGGGGAAATATGGAACCATTTGTAAAATCATTTCCTAAATAGAATCCTTTTAGAGAATATTGTTAAATGAATAATCATTTCTGAAGTAGCTGATGCTCATAAAGTATTAATTTCTTCTTGGTCATACTGGATCAAATTTACCTCTAAAATCAACTCAAAATATTTCATTTAATTAAAAGAAATCTTTTTTAAAAAAAAAACACTTTGCTATCAAAAAAATTTAGAAGGAGAATGAAAAAAATGATTGCCTGTGATGTTGGAAGTGTCCTTTGGTGTTGGGGCCTGACCTGGTAAGAATTCCTTGCCAGCCCCTGGATACCTTAGTTTTGCTAATGCCTACCAGTGGCCATGTGGGCAGATGAGGCTTTGTATGAATGCACTGGTCAGGAGGTGTTGGGGAACTGGGCATGGAAAGGTAGCAGATTTCTGATCTCTAGTTTGCATTGATCTTACATTTAGACACAGATTCAGAAGAACAGACCCTCCCTTTTCCAGTGCCTTCGGAAAGATTGCCGCTCCGTAGAATGAGTCCTTTCTCCTCCACCCTTAATCTACAACCCAGCTTCCCCGGGAGATCCTACTTTGATTTCCGATCCTCACCCCACCAGCTGAGCTTGCATTCTTCTTTACAGTCTCTCAATGCACCCGGTGAGCTGAGCTGTCAGACTTTTCCTCTCCATCTCTGTGCCTTGAAGGCATCTCTCTCTGAAACTCATGTTCTGTTCTTGCCATTCATGTGCGTGGTGAGGGGGATGAGCTGGTCTCTGTGTCTGTGGCCTGCTTCCAGTGTGAGGAGCTTTGGGATGATGGAGCTTTGTGGTGTTCTTGTTTGTGTGGTGTGAGGACCCACCATGGAGCTGTGTTCCATCTGTAATAGCACTGGAAAGTGATGAGCAAAGTTGTTCTTTTTTGCACAAAGCTGGTACCACCTTGGGTAACTTGCTCTATCATCACATTCAGTGGCACAGCACGGCACAGGCACCGGCTAAGCAGAGGCTATGGCAGTAGTTTAGAGGTTTGCAACCCTCTGTATCCAGAAAACCAGCGGTGTCTGGGAGACTGGATCAGTGCATCCAGCCTGGAGTGGTCTGATTAAACATAGACTCAAGAGATCTTTTTGATAAAATAAAAGTGAAAGCACATCAACAGCAGAATGCATCCTACAGAGCAGGCAAACTTGAGGGCAGAAAGTTGGAGGTATTTTTCTGCAAAAGCCTGCACTTGCTGGTAGGATCTGGGGCTTATGGTCAATCAAGGGCAAGGACCACTGCTAGCTGAATTAGAAATCTTTCATTCCTGATGCTGAATGCCTAAAGATCCTGTAATCAAATGGTTCAGCCTCAGAAAGTTTCTCACAGTCAAGCTGGTTGTGACAGGACCCGGGGCTAATTTCAGGGAAGCTAGACCTGTGGTAGTCACAGTAAGCTCTGTCTAGCTTCAAATGTAGCTCTTCAAATATCTGCGTTGCACATCTATTTGATCTCTTCAGGACTATATTATAATCATGGATACATGCAATGCACATTACCCATTTCCCAAGGTTTCTTTTGGTTTTTCTTTTATTTTTTTGGCTCATCCCACATCCTGGAATGAAGAAGGCCACCGCATGACAGTGCAAAAAGGGATGCAGGGACTTCAAGCTCTCTTGACAATGACATTTTCCTTTGTGCTTTTCTGTTTCTTATTGTTTTTCTGTGCACTACTGGCTCTCCCACATGCTTTGTTATGGAACTCTTCACTTGTGTCTAATGTACTGAACTATTGTTACAGTCTTTGTAATGTATATTGTCTCAAGAATAAAATGAAATGTGGGCCTGGGGGGTATTTGATGGGTATATTTAATATCACTGCTTTAGTTGTATCATTGAAATCTTCCATGTATGATGCTGTGTTAAAAGTAGTACAAAGGTTTCAGAACATTTGTTTCAGAAACAAAGACTTGCAGAAGGTATGGTTCATGTAAAAAAGTTAAAAGCCCTATTCACATGCTACATGCAAATTTATTTCAAATGCTGGATATGAAATTGAGTTTTAAAACTCTGAGTGTTCTGTATTATTCTCTAACTCAACAATATAGATTAATGTGACATAAAAGTAGTCATGAGTTGGGAGAAAATGAGTCTCTTGCATGGGCATTCATCCCAAAATCAAATTAGCTAGCCAAAGTAAGGTCATAAGCTTTCAGTGTTGTTTTTAATTCAGTCTTCTTTTATAATAAGTTGTGCTGTCAATTCTTTTAAAGCCCTTTTAAGTCATTCAGTACAGTACACGTCAGTTGCCGTGGAAATACATATAGAAGGGTCTTCTTAGTTTGGAAACACATCGCATGATCCTTTTTCTCCTAGTGCTCCTAGTTGAAAACTTTAGCATTTTAAAGCCAGTCCTCCTACCTCTACCTTAGTACATCTTCATCAGGTGGGTTATTCAGACCTCACAGAAGGGATTGGGAAAAGTTCCATCTGTGATTCCAGAAGCTCTCTGAGCCCCTTCCAGTAGCTCTACTCTTTTCCCTCAAGAAACAGGCACGTGTTGTTTTAAAAAAACATTACATCTACGTCATTATTAAAAAGTATCAGATGTATTCACATGTAGTTTGGATTATATTACACATTTAGGACATGTTTCATTTTACTTGGACTTAAAGCATAACAAAAAGAAACTTCTGGCCACAGCCAAAATTAGAACAGCTAGGATAAAATAAAGCCGAATTTATCAAAACCCAGTGATTTTTCCATTTCAATTTGGCAAAATTTATTTCACTTTTAAAACAGTAAGCCCTCATAGTACAGAAAATTGTGTGGACATGATTGAACATGGAAGATAATGAACATTTAAGCTATAGTGTTTCTCATCAACTGGAAAATGATTTATTAAAGTGTAAGAACATGTGCTTTTCATTGGGAAAGAACAGCAAAAAAAAAAAAAAATTAGCTGGGCACCAATGGCTTCTGCCCATCTATTCCTAGCTACCCGAAGAGGCTAAGCTCTAAGGATTCTGGGTATGAAGCCAACCCAGGCAGACAAATCTAAGAGAGTCTTATATCCAATTAGCCACCAAAAGCTAGAACTGGAGCTATGGCTCAAGTGGTAGAGTGTGATCCTTGTGCAAAACAAACCAAGTGAGGACATGAGGCCCTAAATTTAAGCCCTAGTACCCATACACACAGACACACACACACACACACACACACACACACACACACACACACACATACCTACAAAGAAGGAACGTTGAAAGGGCTTTGTTTTTTTTCCATGAATCAGGCCTCCAGTGATTATATTTAGTTGGTGCTTTTTAAATGTATACAAATATTTTTTATCATACTGCTTGTTGCATAGCTTTGATGTGTAGTATCTCTTTATAGGATGCAATTTTGAGACACAGTCTGCACCTTACTCTCAATTAGGCAAGTATACTTATTGTAATTGTTATCTTTTATTTATGTGACTGCTATGTCAATTTCCTTCATGAAATAAATGGTGGCAGCTTATATTATGTAAATAAAATTGTCTAATGGTCATTCTAACCCCATCATAGTTTCTCAAATTCTTGGGTGAAAAAAAATGCCTCATTGTTTTAATGTTACACCTTGAACCTTACCTTTCCCCCCAAATTTTCTTATGCATCAATGCAAAGCACTCTTTATGAGCACTAAATCTGCATTTAGGTACAAAAATACCTATAAAAGTACAAATCAGAGCAGCTGTTTAGCATGTATAGCATTTTCAGTGGAGCCCTTTTTGGGTATTAGTCTATCAAGAGACATGTTTTCTTATCAATGTCAATTTTGCTTCCTGTTTCTCTCCCCATGCCTTTCATTGGAATGACAACAGTTGACATTAAAAAGCTGTTGGCAGGTATGGAATGCCCTTATTCTTTTACAAGTAGCAAAGACTGAAGTGTACATGTGAGATGGCTCACAGGTTCAGTAAATCAGAGATTCCATCTCTCCAGAGTGTGTTATCTGTAGGCAGCATTTAAAACTTGAGGGCATCGTAGGCTAGACGTGTGGCTTATGCTTACCATGCTAGCTGATAGGAAAATTATGACTCAAGGCCAACTCAGGCCAAAAAGATAGTGACATTTTAACTCAACAAACAAGCATGCACCATGCATTGTGGTACAGGTCTATAACCTCCGGTATTTAGGAAGCGAGAATATAGGTAGGAACATTGCGTTGCAAGGCCGGTCCCAGCCAAAGTGCCACACCTTATCTAAAAACTAAAAGCAGGAAGTGGAGCTGTGGCTCAAAGTGGTAGCCTTGAGTGGGAAAAGATCAGGGACAGCGCACAGGCCCTGAGTTCAAGCTCCATGAACAACAACAACAACAAAAAGAGAATCTTTTAGGGCAGAGAATGTAGTTAGTGGTAGAGTGCTTGCCTTTCATGCATGAGGCCCTGGGTTTGATTCCTCAGTACCACATAAACAGAAAAAGCCACAAGTAGTACTGTTGCTCAAGTGGTAGAGTGCTAGCCTTGAGCAAAAGAAGCTGCAGGGACAGAGCCCAGGTCCTGAGTTCAAGCCCCAGGACTGGGGAAAAAAAACAACTAAAAGCAAAAAGGGTTGGGGGGCATGGCTCAAGGTGTAGAACACTTGCCTAGCAAGCATGTGGCCCTGAGTTCAAACCCCCAAACCACACACACACACACACAATTTAAGGAAAAAGAATTGTACCTGTATTTGACATTCAAACTACCTCCAACTGTAGCAAAATACATCACGTCCGTTTCAGGAATAACTTGCATTTTTAAGTTAGGAAGCAAGCAACTTGTCCTATATCCAAATCACTCCCAATCACACATGAAAATTAATCTGTATAACTTACAGCAGGCAAGACAGCTGTGAAAATCTGCTGAGGGACTGTTTCCAGATTTCACCCAGTATGTTTTATCCCTCCTCCATCCAGGACTGTAGGTCTAGCCTCCCTGCATCAGGGGTCACCCAGGCCTCTTAGCCTATCCCCTGTCCCCTCTTGTCTCTGGTGCACTGCTCTGCCAGTGACCAGGTGGAGGGACTTGAACCTTCCAAACTCCATGTCACCTCACTCTCCCAGATCACCTGGTTGGGAGTACAGCCTGAGTCAGGTAACCCCTGCTGAATCGGTCGTGTGTCCTCTGTCCACTTCTGGTACAAAGTACCATCTCCCAGGAGACGTGCCATCCACTCATGGCAACTTGGACCCCAGACATCTCCTCCCTGCATGGCAGCATGAAAAGTGTTACTGTATCCATATAGCCCAGGAGTTCTGAGCTCTTCAAGTGTGTCTTAATAACCACTTCCTTTCTGTTATTCTCAGTGGCCTGGTTTGCTTTCGACCCTGGCTCAGCACATTCGGACATCATCTTCTCCAATGACAACCTGACAGTGACCTGCAGCAGCTACGATGACCGGGTGGTGCTAGGGAAGACTGGCTTCTCCAAAGGCGTCCACTACTGGGAGCTAACGATAGATCGCTATGACAACCACCCTGATCCTGCCTTTGGCGTGGCTCGCATGGATGTGATGAAGGATGTGATGTTAGGAAAGGACGACAAAGCTTGGGCAATGTATGTGGACAATAACCGGAGCTGGTTCATGCACAACAACTCGCACACCAACAGGTACCCTGAAGCCCTCAAACCAAGCCTTCTTCAGGTTGGCTTCTGGTCACCAGTGAGAACCCTACCCAGTTCAAAGATCTATAACATAGATGATGGGTAGGTGGTCAGTAGAGGAGAGCCAATCTTGCCATTTTGCTTTTTGCATAATGATAAGAGATGTAAGCATTTCCCTTGGCCCTTCATTGCTGTAGTTCACCCAGAGCTAGAAGCTAGAATCCCCAGGGATGTTCACACTAGGAAAACACGGCAGGATTCTATAACCCAGATCAGGACATACCAGGAAAGTGTTTTGGGCCCAAGGACTTCATTTTTCCAAACCTGAGTTTGCAAACCCTCCAAAGAAAGATCATAATATTTTTCCATTCAGAGGTGTTCTGAATGCCTGGTGGGGCGTACAAACATTTCACACAGTGGAGGCATTTGAAATAGAAGCCCTTGTTCTTGTTATAACCATCATCAGTATTACCGCTCAAAATAGAAGCCAGTTACTCAACTAAATATTATGGTTGCCAATTTGGATAGTTTGATACTTGAAGAACTCTCTTATTATTGTATGAATTAGAACACTCAGTTTGTTGAAGAAAGAGTGTAATAATCTGCGTAAGATTTTCCTCTATCACTTAAAGACAATTATACTTGATCATTTGGTATAATTTCCCTGTAGATCTCCCTTTTCATTTGCTTATGTTTGCTTCTAATGTATTTTATTTCGGATTTCCTAAGCCAAAAAGTATCTTTCATAGATACTGGTCCTCCTTACTCCAAAACGTTCCCCAGGATGCATTCTTCATTGTGCCTCGTGTAATGATGCAGTTGTGTTTAGTGAGATCAGAGGGAAAGCAAGTTAAACAGTGAGAGGATAATTGGACATCATGACTTCTGCTTTTTCTGTCAGCATCTCACTGACCCTTTTCTAGCCAGTAGATTAGATTCCTGTAGCCATCTACTCCCTTGGATAGCTTCTGTACAACTCCATTCATATGTGCAGTGTTAGCTGCACTTGAAGTGAGCACACACCATTTCAAATTGATCTCGAATCCTACTGGATATAGATAATCACCTTCAGTGATTTCCATTTTAAGGAACTGTGTCACTAGGTTCCTGATGCCATCTCCCATATACTATATGCTTGACATCTTAATTGGGGGTGACAGAATGAATAAGAACATGACCATCAAACTACACAGAGAAACATGTTCTTCAAGCTGAACACATCTGCTTGCATGCAAACTGTGTGTGTGTCACTTGTGTTGTTGTTAAGCCTGTGAACAAGATACAACTTGTAAACCTGTCTTCTAATGGCTCTGTGAGCTGAGTACAGTCTATTCTGCATGCAAGAGGAAGCAAGCAATGCCTATGAATGCCTGTGTGCTGCTGAGAGGGGGATGAAGTCAGTCTTGCTACATCTCAAAACAGGAAGGAAGACACATCAGTCATCCCCACCTAATGGCATTTTGTGAAACCATCAACTGAAGCCCAAGACACAATTTGTAAAATGACATTTGTATGTAATCTCTAACTTGCCTGTGATATAATTGTTCACTTTATGGAAAAGATTTTTCTTCGATATTGTCATTTTACAGAGAACCTCTTAGCTTCTTATTTCAAATTCAACATGCTAAAAACTACTGTTTCAGGGATGACTTTTATGATTTAATGGAAAGAAAAAGATTCCCACACTCCAATTACTCATGCATATGTTTTGTTCAACCTAGTGCTTCTTTAACTTTCAAATGAAGTCATTTTGTATTTAATGATTTAATTCACATCATTGTGCAAAGTATGTACTATAGTTAAGTCAGAGCTCTGATAGCCAAAAGGCTATCCTCCCCCCCCAGACTTTAGTGGTTGGCTTTCTACTACTGCAGTTCAGAGGTAAAGACCCCCAATGAATGAATTCACCCTCAACAATGTGGATCAGCCTGTGTACCCACCAGGGGTGGTTGTCTCCCACAAGAGAGTGGAAATTAGTGGGGGTGAAGAAAAAAATCTTACTTATATTTTACATAGAAAGCCCAGCTATACATACAGTACATAAAGAGGTATACAGTTTGCCTGTGGCATTAAGATTTACGTTTTAAAAAATGTGCTTAGAGAAAAAATATGTTAAAAGGTGAGGAAGGGGCAAACATTCTGAACAGATTGTGAAACACTGGCTTCACCGTACCTGAGAGAGAGAGAGAGAGAGAAAGAATGAGTGTGTGTGTGTCAGTCAGAATAACAAGCAAGGCTAACCCCACTTTTTTCTTTCCCACAGAACGGAGGGAGGGATCACCAAGGGGGCCACCATTGGGGTCCTCCTTGACTTAAATCGAAAGACCTTGACGTTCTTCATCAACGATGAGCAGCAAGGCCCCATAGCATTTGAGAATGTGGAGGGCATGTTTTTCCCTGCCGTCAGCCTGAACAGGAATGTGCAGGTAAGCATGGGCCCCTGGGTGTAAATGCAGCTTCTTCTAGCTGCAGTTATAAACCCCTCCCCAAAGAAGGTGGATAACATAAGATGCAGAGCAAGGTGTGGAGGAGAGGAGAGAAAGGGGTCAATATGGCTGACTGATAGGATTCCACAGCCGCCGAAGCCCTTCCCTGTCCTTGCATACTTTCTAGTGAGCAGCCCATGGGAAACTCAACGGTTCTGTTCTATTCATGGGCCGCTCTAGTTTCGTCTCTAAGTAGAAATGAATGCCTTTAACCAAACAACTGAGATGACTCACACAAAGCTCCCGGCTTGTCTGAGAAGGAACTATGAGATAAAAGTGTGAGTCCCGTCAGAAAATAGAGAACCTTTCAGCACCTTCTCTGGGTCCTGTTCCTCTCTGCTGAGTGCAAAAGGAAGAGCAGACATAGTCCCTGCACACAAGTTCTGTTATGCATTATTCTCTCTTTCATTCATCAACAAATTCCTACAGGGTTCCCCTAATACATCAGAAACAATTACAAATATTCAGTGTACATCAGTAAGGGGAAAAACAGATATAAATTTTCCCTTCTAGAGCTTATGTTCACGTTAGAGGAGACCAACAAGAAACAATAGTACAATGATACTCTCTTCAATGTATGGATAAATTGATAGGTCAAACAGAGGAAAGGGGAAAGGGGGTGGGATTGCTGAGGCTGGGGGAGGGTAGTTGCAGCCTTAAGTAGGATGGTTGGTACAGGTTGACCCTGTGGGACTCCCAGGTGAGCTGAGCCATAATGAAGATGAAGGATGGAGCCATATGGAGCCTTCTAGACAGGGGAAATGGCCTTGGATGAACAGAGCAGAGGAATGAAGTTGTGGGTTTGGGTAAGGGGATCATGGGGAGGAAGACTAGAACCATGCAATCATGGAAGGCCATCCCCTACCAGCCAAGACTTGGGGTTTCTCTGCCTTCCTGAGCTGGGCCTCTTATTAACAATTATCACCTCACACAACAAATGAGTGCCTGGAGGCAGGTCTGAAGAAGAAAAGCACGACAGCTGATTTTTACCCTATGAGAACCATAGTCTTGAAGTTTATCTCAAAACAGTTCATCGTTGTCTATCAATATATGTACTATAAATGATCACAACCTAGTGCTACCTATCCTCCTATCTTCCTGTAAATAGATAGGACTTTCTACTGAGAGGGAGCGGGGAGGCTGCTGGGATCTAATTGTCCAGAGTTTGACTTCTACTTTAGAAAAAAGAGAATTATTCCTTGTCCTAGAAGTGAGTCTCAGAAAAAAACCTCACTCAAAGGTTCCTATGTTTCAGCCATTTCTCTTTTAAAGGATATCATAGTAGGTATGCACCAGGGTTTTCCATGATGTTCTGAGTGTCTTCAGATAAGAGATTATTAGTCAGAGAAGACAGACATGAAGGAGGAAATGATGGAGAGTACTATATGAAGTGGTTCTAGGCTTAAGGTTGAAAAGAAATGGAAGTAACATAATAAATGCCCATGTTTCTTCATAACTGGTCATCGGTCTTTCATGCCATCCCAGAAGCAAGGTGTATCCCAGCTGAGGAGCTAGTGGACAGGTTAATCTCTTATCTGTCTTTGGACTTGGTGTGGCCAACCAAGTGGAACCAGGTTTCATTACCTATAAACCAGTGCCTGTGTCTTCTGTCAGGAGGAACTACAAATTTCCTGAGTCTTTTTTAAAAGGTAGGTGGCTGAGAACCATATCATCAAGTGTCACCAGGACTTGTAAGCCCACCATTGGAATGAGGCTCTTAGCACAGCTAGAATCCACTTGGATGTCTGTTAGCACAGACATTCAGGATAAGTGAAGAGATGGCTTTGTGACTTAGGGCACTGGGTCCAGACCTGCGGTGTCTTGCAGAACTCACAGTCTTGTCCCCCAGGTCACACTTCACACCGGGCTCCCAGTCCCCGACTTCTACTCCAGCAGAGCATCCATAGCCTAAGGATGTGCTGTGGAGGCACCGGCTGCCGGGGAGAGTGACAACCAGAAGCCCAGTCAGCCGTGGCGGAACACAGAGTTGGCTGGAGAGAGAGAAGGAGAAAACAGCTGGTCCTCTATGATCTTCACAACTACCATTCTGCCCTTTCCCTCCAGTCTCTCCACTCGGCCACACCCGAGTCCCTGCCACCCCCTGCGATTCTAACCAACAAAGGACCTAGGCAGCCCAACCATGTTTCTTTCGCCACTCCCAAAAGTAGCTTTTCTTGAACTTAATTTTTTTATATAGGTGAGTTCATTTTCTTATTGATCATGTTCCTGAAGTGGCACTGCCAGGAGAAAGTTCTCTTACAATCTTTATTTCTTAAGCTTTTGGTCAAACAGAGATTGAAGCAGGAGGTAGGGAAGAACAAACTTGAGTTTGGAGCTTGCAGTTTACCTTCTAGAATGTTCTTGCCCTGACACCTCTTGGGCAACATTAGCTATGTGTGGCTAATCTTTGGGAGATGGGCAGTGTGCATCAGGTATTGAGAAGTCTACCACCCTCTGAAGCACAAAAACTATCAGCTGCACAGATTCACAGCAGGGCAGGATCCTCAGGATAGCCCAGGAAACAGACCAGACACTGTACAGAGGCAGAACACAGGATTTCATGGTTCTATTCATTTAGCTAATACAGGTTTTTAAATCAAAACTATGAGGGACCAGGCAATATTCTAGATGTCATGCTTTAGACACGGTGGAAACACACAATAAGCAGACAGATGGGCACAGCTTCTGCCCCCCCCCCCCCCCCCGGAGCATGTACTCTAGTAGGAGAACAAAGCAAAAATTACACACTGTTTCACATTGTTATGAGTAACAGAAAGGGAACAGACAAGAGTCAAAAAGGGTCACTGCCAAGCTCTTTCAGGTTTCCTAGAATACAAGGCTAAATAAAACCCCCACATTCTAGTCATGGTAGCACTAAGAATGTACCAGTTCGATGCCTTTCCAACTGCACTATGTTAATATTCGACCCTGCTGCTACTTCATCACTGAGCCCTTCTTTGGCAGAAACGATGTCAGCATTCTGACTCCTTCATGCTGCAATCATAACAAGCCTTAAAAAATGAACAGTTTCAAAACAAAATAGTGAGCAGAGGGCAGATCCCATGTCACCAATGGGGATCTTAAGTTACATTCTCAGGACAAAAATGCTGTCTCCACATGAACTGTCTGTGCTGTGACAACCAAAATCCATCTACCCTGCTGCCATGCACAGCCTGACTTTCTAGAGAAGTTCAAATCAAGTTTGGAAAAACCTGAATTTGAGTCATTTCTAGGACTGATGGCAGAATAATAGTGCATATTACTTCTAAAGAGTGACACCCTTCTGATTCTTTAGTTTGACATGAAGTTTTAGAAAATGTAGGACTTGGGAAAATAAAAATAAAAGTTCTCATTCACTGACTACTTTCTGTGATATTACACACACATACACACACACCACCACTACCACCACCACCACCACCACAGCCAGGAATAACAATAAAAGGAAGGAGTAAGATGGGAAAGCTAACAGTGCTTTGGCAAAAAAAAAAAAAAGTAATAAATGTAAATAGCTCATTATTTACTCCTGTGCTTCTTCTAGTTAGATGATTTCAGTCAGTGATACTGTTTTTCTAGTTAGAACCTAATTTATTAAATGGGTGCTATCCTGTTTATGTCTATCTTCGTTTTTCATGGCTAGAGAAATTCTCAGTTGCAGGACAACACTAGTTTGATATTTGATTTACGCTCCAATGAGACTCGATGGCTGGGCCGCTGTAGACTCCTAGTTTCTCTCATTCTTTATGAAATCCATTCCGCTAATTAGATTTCTAGTGACTTGTAACACTTAGTTTACACTGAATTGCAATTATAAATGCATACAGCTACTGTACTAGAAAGAAAACCATGTCATTTCCAGTGTGCCAATAAAATGATTTTTATGAGAGAACAAAAATGTCTCCATAGAATTTTTTTAAATTTTTACCTATGGGAGGGCTTGGGGACACCTGCCTTTCTCAGAGCAGTGTTTCTTCAGCACAGTATAATCAGAAGGCTCCCCAGTACTTGAAAGCATGATTCTGCCCATTTCCTCCAGAGTGTGGTACTAGCTCTCTTTTTACCTCTCACCCAAATTTGAACGTGCTGTGAAGCGTGTGTCTTCTGGCATCTGCCTCCAAATCTGCTACTAAAAAGCCACAAACTTGTGCTGCAAAAGTATCATATCCTGTCAGTTCCTGTAGTGAGTCCTTGAATGGCTAAATAATACTATTGTTTTTGCATAATTACAACATTATCTACTCTTTTTTTCTCTTTGCCAGTCCTGGGTTTGAACTCTGACCCTGAGCTCTGTCCTCGAGCTCCTCTGTGCTTCAGGGCTAGTTAGCACTCTACCACTCGAGCCATAGCACCACTTCCAGCATTTTCTGTGTATGCAATACTGAGGAATGGAACCCAGGGCTTCGTGCATGCTAGGCAAGCACTCTACCCCTAAGCCACATTCCCAGCCCCAACATTACCTACTATCTTACATTATTATCAGCCTTTCTCCCTCCCTCTTTCTCTTTTTTTTTGGGGGGGGGGGCATCAGGGTTATAAATCAAGGCATTTTTATGCTAGGTAAGCAGGAGCTCTACCCCCACCCATTCCTCCACCCCTATTCCCCATTATTTCTGAAATAGGGTCTGCCAGGGCACAGTCCTTCTATTTATATTTCCTTCTGTCTCTAGGATGGCTTTTCTATTGAGTTGGAGTCTGGAGAGCTTATTTTTGGCCCAGGCTGGCCTGAAACCACAATCCTTCTAATCTCAGCCTCCCATGTCCCTAGGCATGAGCACCCTGCCATTCAACATGCAGTATAGCTAATAAAAAAGAGAGAGATTTGTATAGATGTTTAACAGAGAACCATAAAGAAGGCAATGATGAACATTTCAAAACAGTGAAAGATTATCATTCCAAAATTGCTCATCTAAAAGTAAAACTACATATAGACAAATACAACTTTTAGTGATACTGGGATTTGAACTCTGAGCTTCATGCTTGCAAAGCTGGTGTTCTGTCACTTGAACCAGTCCAGCATTTCGCTGGTTATTTTATTTGTTTTTTGTTTGTTTGTTTGTTTTTGGTCCGGTTGTGGGGCCTGAACTCTGGGCTTGGGCACTGTCCCTCAGCTCTTCAGCTCAAGGCTAGTGCCCTACCACTTGAGCCACAGCGCCACTTCCAGCTTTTTTCTTTTTGCTTATGTGGTGCTGAGGAATCGAACCCAGGGCCTCAGGCATGCAAGGCAAGCGCTCTACCACTGAGCCAACTTTCCAGCCCCTTGCTGGTTATTTTAGAGATGGAGTTTCATGGCCTTTTCTGGTTGGGTTGGCTTTGAACCTCAGTCCTCTAGATCTTAGTTTCCTGGGTAGCTAGCATTACAGGGGTGAGCCACCTGCACCTGGCTCCATTTTGGTTCTTGACTCTGTTTTCTAATCTAGTGCTAATGAGTATATAATGAGTAAGTTCATCTGCAGCATAATTATGCCTATTGTACTGCTGCTTTTCCCACATGATCTCAACATTTTGCTAATGGTCTCCAGGGCAGAAAAGCTGTCAGATGAGACCTCCAGCCTTATCCCATGGCAAGCTGACATTGATGGGCAAGTGGAGGTTAATTGCACCTTCTCCAGAGGTTGCTCTCATCCTTAGCATTGGGCAAAAACAGTAGTATTTACAGCATACATCTTTGTCTAGACAGAGTGATGTACACATGCACCAGCAGAAGATCACAACTATCTTCAAGAGATCAATATTTCTTAAAGTTTTCTGAGGTACTGCTGAAACTCAATTCCTCCATCTAACTCCACATCCTCAGTTTAACTCAGCCCAAGAATTTCAGTGTAGCACAGTGTTTACCTATAACACACTCACTGCTGGCTAGCTAGCAGTCCACTGCCTCAGCTGAGAAAGGCTTTTCCTTGATGTTCAGAGAATCTGAACAGCTCCACTCTGTGCTTTGGGGATGTAGGGAGAGAATCCTAATGGTCAGATGAAGCAAGGAGCACCTGCGGAGGGGGCTGCCACAGGGTGCAGGACACTTGAGTAACTTGGTGACAAGAAGTTATTATGTTACACCGTGATCTTGTTTTGTTTCTTTTCTGTTTGTTTTTCTTCTGGAAGCCTTTGGCATTGTGTTTCACTCACCCATAAGCCTCTTTCCAGGTCCAAAGGAAACTTAGGAAACACTGGCCATGCTGCTCACAGCAACTATCAGAAACACCATGAGCTTGGGGAGGTAGGGGAGAACCATGGAAGGGTGACATTGACCAAGATGCATTGTACTCACAAACTGACATGTTGAAACCCTTTTGAGCAACTGCTTAAGGATAATTGAGGGGCTGGTCATGTGGCTTAGTGGTAGAGTGCTTGTCTAAGCATGCATGAAGCCCTGGGTTTGATTCCTCAGTACTATATAAACAGAAAAATCACATGGGAGTGCTAGCCTTGAGCAAAAGAAGCTTGGGGACACTGGCCAAGCCCTGAGTTCAAGTCCCAGAACTGGCAAAAAAAAAAAAAGGGTAATTGAAAACAGAAAAAAAAAGGAACAATTAAGGAACATGTTCTTCACATTTAACATCTCTCCAATCAGTACAGGAAAAAGAAGTTTCTACTTTTGTTGTTGTTGTTGTGTGGCTTGAACTCTGGGCCCGGGCGCTGTCCCTCAGCTCTTCAGCTCAAGGCAAGCACTCTACCACTTGGGCCACAGCGCCACAGAAGTTTCTATTTTAATGCAGCATACAAAAGATTTATATGCACAAAATAAACATTCATACACTGGAAAATACAACTGAAGGCAGTAAACAAGTACCAAAAATGCTAAGAATCAATCACAGATTTCATATGAAAAAGTGGTTGGGACCAACTGATAGGTAAAAGGTACTCTTTCAGGGTCCAGATCGTTAAAGGCTTTCATCTACTTTCTAAAGATGCTCTTTACTTCCAGTTATATGTAATTCAATTAACAGAAATGATACAAGCAAAATAACCAAAAGGGAAATGAAGTGCACATACTTACACACACACACAAACACACACACACACACACACACACACACACACACACATTATTCCTCAAATTCTCTTACAGCAAGCTGGGCATCAATGGTTCATGCCTGCTATCCCAACTACTCAGGAGGCCGATAGCTAAGGTAAGCCAGCCCAGGTAGAAAAGCCCATAGACTATTGTTTCCAATTAACTGCTGATGAGCACAAAGCTCATTCTTCTGCAGCATCATGGGACTTGTTACATTGTTGATCACTTCATAAAACTGCCTGAAGCCATACCTGACAGGTATTTTGGAATCCAATTGTGTCTGTTAGTCTGAAAGAAGAAAGTGGTATATTCCAGCTGGCATCCTTTCAACTATTAGGTTCTATGGCTCTGTGATTGTCCCACATAGGATGTACCACACACAATACAAACAAGTCAATACCTATTTAATGAGCACCTGTTAGTGCTAGGGATTAAGTGAGCAAATTAGACAGGCTCCATACCCTCTCAGCTGATATTATAATGCAAATAATAAATATGTAAACAAAAATCAAGATGATTCTAAATAGTGATAACTACTATACTAGACATCAAACATATTAGTAACTAGATAGAAAGTTCCGGTGTGATCAGCAACTGCCTGTCTGAGGAGGTGGTGCTTATGTTGCAGATGCCAGGGAGGAGAGTTAAGTCCAGGAACGTTGATGTGCAGTGTGTGGTTGGGGATGGAGCAGATAAGTGAAAGGGGGTGGGGGGAGACCTGGAAGGCCACGCATGCAGATGGCAGTGAGAAGCGGATTAACTGATCTAAAGGCACAGGAGGAATGAATAAGAATGGTGTGGGAGCTGGGTGCTGGTAGCTCACTTATAATCCTGGCCACTCAGGAGGCTGAAGATTGTGGTTTAAAGCCAGTTCAGCCAGGAAAGTCTGTGAGACTCTTATTGCCAATTAACCAACAAAAGACCCAGAAATTGGGCTGGGAAGGTGGCTCAGAGGTAGAGCGCTTGCCTTGCATGCATGAGGTCCTAGGTTTGATTCCTCAGCACCACATAAGCAGAAAAAGCCGGAAGTGGTGCTGTGGCTCAAGTGGTAGAGCTCTAGCCTTGAGCTGAAAAGCGGAGGGACAGTGCCTAGGCCCAGAGTTCAGGACCCATGACTGGCAAAAAAAAAAGAGAGAGAGAGAGAGACAGAGAGCCAGAAATGGAGCTGCCTTAAGCAAAAAGACTAAGGGACAATGCACTGGGCCCTGTTCAAGATCCTGTACAGCACAATCAATCAATCAACAAAATAATAGACAAGAGGCCAAAGAAATCAGACAGGACCTGCAGAACATTTGATCCTCTTAGAGATCCACCCCTCTCTCCACTTCAAGGGAACACAAAATCTACTCATTCTTGTCCTGAATTTGAATGGGTTCTGTGTCTGCCTCTTCTGTGTCTGACATCTTGACTTAGAATCCCAGCCACTAAATCCAATCTGAGCACTATATCCAGAAAAGTGCTAATAGATGCTGGGTAGTTAAATAGTATTTGGATTTCTTCCAACTGTTGCAAGAACCTTGCTGGGGCACTTTTATGCAAAGTGAAACTAGGCCTCTTGTCTTATCAGAATGAATGAGTGAGTGAATGAGTGAATGAATGCTACCTGCCTTTATACCTTTAAATTCTGGAACGCGAGTTTTGTTTTGTTTCTTACAAAGCAAATGTTCTAGAAATGGCAGAATGCAGAGAGGAATTTGCCATTCCAGCAGAGAATAAACAGACAGTGAGAGGAAATATTCTCTTCAGTATTGACTGTATGTCTCAGGATGCCAAACACTTATAACTGACTTAGCTCAAAAACCAACAGCTTCCACAACCCAGCAGAAACCTGGGGCAGCAGCCAACTGA